TTAGTAGATAAACTAACCCGCAGATATCGCCTCGCGCGCGCTACATCGCGTATCTGCAAGCGCTGCGCACTTTTCACTAAACAAATGCTGTTATGCGCTCGCTCAGACTCTACTTTTTCTCGTCACGAGGAAACTATTCGGGCTTTTTTATCCAGCCACTATCGCCACATCACTGGAATGTCAGCAATGTTCTCTTGCGCACCTCCTCACACTAACTGATATCCTCATCGTAGGCACATCATTGCAATCTCTGCTGTCGCGTGTCGTCGTCGTATCCGAGCGAATTGACACTCAATTAGCAGCATATTCGCGGCACCAATGTGTGAGAGAGTTTCATGCAATTTGCGCCATTACATAATGTGACAAAGTGAGCTTAATGACAAAAGTCGAGACGTAAATAGATTAGTTCTGAGGAGCGCCAAAAGAGCGAGTTGAAGTCGAGCGACGCCGCCTTGAATATATCCGGGCGTACTGTATTTTTGGAGCGTTGATTTGATGTTATACCAACCTTGTGAACACATCTGGATAATGTGTACGAGCGAAGACCTTCTCAAGTTCGTCAAGCTGATAAGCGCTGAAGGTGGTTCGGTACCTAAAACGATCTCAGTTTACTTTACAAGATCAATTAGCTACTTTTTCGATTTTACCTCCGTTGTTTTCGTTTTCCATTCTCGTCTGGACTCTCGCCACCGTCGTCTGAGATATTCAGTGAATCTCGCTGTTCGGACACAGAGGGTGCTGCATCGTGCATAACTAAACACTTTCGTTGCAGACGATTGCGTTGAAAAAACTGAGAACATTGAAATTCGAAGATCGACGGACCGGGCTTCTCTTCCCTCCGCTCCTCCTTATTGTCAGCCTTCGTCAGTGAGGCGATGGCAAAGGGACTGTCAAATGGGACCGGAGGCTTGACCAGCAGCGGCGAGGTGACTCCAAACTGTGCCTGGAAACGGTAGGGATACTGTAGATGTGGGTGAGCAAGCTGAGCGAGCGAACCTGGAACTGCTCGAGCTGCTTGGCCATGTCGGGCCTCATCACCAGCTGTGCCATGTTCATGATGTTGGAGAACTCGTTGCTCTTTTGGCCGAAAATGCTGGATGGCTCGAACTTCTCAGTGGTGCCCTGCGAGACCTGCTCGGACATCAAATGAGATCTGTAACGCGCTAATTAGCCGCAACACACACAACTGTCTCTATTATTAACGCGATACGCAAGCACGGGCAGTGAACGGAAACAATAGAGGATGATATGAGGTAGGGAAGTTGAAGAGGACAAGTTGACGCGAAAGTGTCAGGCGACACACGGTTCATTAGCGAACTGCTTGATGATGGTAATGGGGCTTAAACGATAACCTCTCTATAACTCAATGTATACGAGGCTGTTGGGCGTCGAAATTGGCATGCAAAGTGCTTCACCACACCATAAATCAGCACCGGCGAAGGCCTCAATCACGAGTGATATACGTAGTGCGATAAAACGAATTAAGCGGTCCCGACGTTGTTTTAAATATAATGTGCAGCGCTTTTGGTGTGAGCTATGTTTAATAGGACGCTTGAACACTTAGTGATCGTTACCTCCAGCCAGCCAGACACGAACATACACGTATATATACAAATTGCATATGTACGTCGCCGGACATGGTGCAATTATCGGCGGCAGGTATCATGGGCAGCTTTCACCCTAGAAGTTTTTACCAGC